CTCCAGGCTCTGAGCCATCAGCCCAGAGCCCGACGCGGGGCTCGAACTCACGGACCGCGAGATCGTGACCTGGCTGAAGTCGGACGCTTAACCAACTGCGCCACCCAGGCGCCCCTAAAGTTGTAACACTTTTTAATGTGCATAGGTTAGAACAGATGACATTGGATTTTCCAGAGGGTGTTCCCAAATAATTATAGATATATTCATTCCAACTCCAGGAATATTTCTGTCTAAGTGACCAATATTTGTCCGTGGGATTAAAGCAACTTCTCCCTAGGATGCTGATGAGTTCTTCCTCTTTAGTTCTCAATTTTCTAAGCCCAAGGTAAACAACCAAAATTACCTAAGGCAAGCTAAGGACTATATAAACTATTGTACAAACACCATTTTACTTAAGGACCACAGCAACCTTTTGAAAATGTGTATAATTATTTTTAATGTTTATTTATTTATATTTGAGAGAAAAAGAGAGCACAAGCAGGGGAGGGGCAGAGAGACGGAGACAGAATCTGAAGCAGGCTCCAGGCTTTGAGTTGTGAGCTGTCAACACAGAGCCCCACGCAGGGCTGACTAGCAGTGAGATCATGACCTGAGATGAAGTTGGATGCTTAACCAACTGAGCCACCTGGTGCCCCAAAATATGTATTATTTTTATTTTACAAATGAAGATACTGAGGCTGAGTTTTTCATATGTTTTTTCACCCAGACTTTTCATAGATTTAATAAGAATATAATACTGTTAGTACTATAAATAATAGTTGTGTTTCATAAAGTATCATGAATCAAGACATGGGCTGTTTGGTTCATATGCATTATTTCATGCAGCCCACATGTAACCTCAAAGTATTACCTGATTTAAAAGATAAGTCATTGGAGGATTAGGAAGTTTATTTACTTACTCAATGAGATAGAAAATAAGGAAGCCTAGCAGCAGGTAGAGGGGAAGGAAGTGCACGATCAACAAAGATGATAGGTTCACTTTCACGCATGTTGGCTTTAAAATGTGTGAGAGGCATCCAGATGGAAATATTTGGTGGACATCTGAATTTTTCTGAAGTTCATTTTTTTCTTTCTTCTTTGTTTCAATTTTCTTTTTTCTTTTTTAAAATTTACATCCAAATTAGTTAGCATATAGTGAAACAACGATTTCAGGAGTAGATTCCTTAATGCCCCTTACCCATTTAGCCCATCCCCCCTGCCACAACCCCTCTAGTAACCCTCAATTTGTTCTCCATATTTATGAGTCTCTTATGCTTTGTCCCCCTCCCTGTTTTTATATTATTTTTGTTTCCCTTCCCTTATGTTCATCTGTTTTGTCTCTTAAAGTCCTCATATGAGTGAAGTCATATGATTTTTGTCTTTCTCTGACTAAATTCACTTAGCATAATACCCTCCAGCTCCATCCACATAGTTGCAAATGGCAAGATTTCATTCTTTTTGATTGCCGAGTAATACTCCTGTGTGTGTGTGTGTGTGTGTGTGTGTGTGTGTGTGTGTGTGTACGTACGTATATGTATACATTTATACACCACATCTTCTTCATCCATCAATGGACATTTGGGCTCTTTCCATACTTTGGCTATTGTTGATAGTGCTGCTATAAACATGCATGTGTCCCTTCAAAACAGCATCCCTGTATCCCATGGATAAATGCCTAGTAGTGCAATTGCTGGGTCGTAGGGTAGTTCTATTTTTAGTTTTTTGAGAAACCTCCATACTGTTTTCCAGAGTGGCTACACCAGCTTGCATTCCCATAACAGTCTGAAGTTCTAGTGAGAGATCTGGATAGAGATGGATTTAGGAATAATGGTCATAGTGATGATAATTGAAGTAATATGTCATTTGGGCAAATTTTCACCACCCCACCTGCCAAAATATATTGATAATCTACATTCCAAGCATACTGTCCTACTCATTATTCCCTTTTTCTTTTCTTTTTTTTAAATGTTTATTTATTTTGAGAGAGAGCGTGAGTAGGGGAGGGGCAGAGAGAGAGGGAGAGAGAATTCCAAGCAGGCCCTGCATTGTCAGCACGGAGCTGGATATGGAGCTTGATCCCATGAACTGTGAGATCACTACCTGAGCTGAGATCAAGCATTAGATACTTAACCCAGGCACCCCGTCTACTCATTATTCTCATTGTGACCTCTACTTTCCTACTTTTTTGCACTCGCTCATTCTTTTCCCTAATGTAAGATTTCCCTTTCTCCCATCTCTCCCTGAGGGAAATACATTTTCCTTTCCTGGATAGATTTCTCCCTAGTTATGAAGCAATTTCTTCTACCAAGTGTAGTGATGATTCTATTTTTAAAGCACTTAATTATAGACTACCTTAATGTTTCAGTTCTTAGGGTATATGTGTTTTTCGTCTCCAAGGAACTTGCAAGCCCTAGAATACCACAACTATATTTTGGTTTCCTTATTTCCCAGTGTAGTGCGCATGGTAGATGTTCAACAAATATTTGCTGAATTGAATTAGAAAATGTGAACTTTTTCTGACTTTATTCCTGAATTATGAGATTATATTGTAGTTATAGTCTGTAATCTTCTTTGTGTCAAGAATTTAGCTCTCTTATTTATAGATTCCCAGTTGTCTGGATATCTGGCAACTTGAGAATAAGCAGCTTTGGATAATAATTACAATAACCTCATTTAAAGAGTAACCTTTACTCACACCTGTCAAAATGGCTAAAATCAGAAGCACAAGACACAGGTATTTGTGAGGATGTGGAGAAAAAGGAACACTCATGTAGTGTTGGTGGGAATGCAAACTGGTGCAGCCACTCAGGAAAATAGCATGAAGGTTCCTCAAAAAATTAGAACTAGAACTACCAGATGATCCAGTAATTCTATTGGGTATTTACCCAAAGAATAAAAAAACATAATTTGAAAAGATAAATGCACCCCTATCTTATTGTCATATTATTTACAATAGCCAAGATATGGGAGCAGCCAAATGTCCATCAATTGATGAATAAAGAAAAAGTGATATATGTATATGTACATTGGAATATTATTCAGCCATAAAAAAGAATGAAATCTTGCCATTTGCAACAGCATGGATGGATCTGGAGAGTATAATACTAAGCAAGATAAGTCAGAGAAAGATAAATACCATATGCGGTATTTAAGAGACCGCATATGTCGCATTCACTCATATGTGAAATTTAAGAAAGAAAACAAACGAGCAAAGGCTAAAAAAGACAAACCAAGAAACACTTTTTTAATACTTTCTTTTAAGGTTTGTTTTGAGAGAGAAAGAGGGAGAGAGAAAATCCTAATAAGGCTCCACAGCATCAGTGTGGAGCCTGATGTGGGGCTCAGACCCATGTACCATGAGCTCATGACCTGAGCCGAAACCAAGAGTTGGACACTTAACCAAATGAGCCACACAGGTGCTCCCAGACTCATAAGTATAGAGAACAAACTGATGGCTACCAGAGGGGTGGGGAGGAGGATGAGTAAAATAGGTGATGGAGATTAAAGAGTACATTTATCATGACTACTGAGTAGTGTATAGAATTGTTGAGTCACTCTATTGTACACCTGAAACGAATATATTACTGTGTATTAACCATACTGGAATTAAAATAAAAAATTTGTATAGAGTAATGTGAAATCTTAAAGATTTTTATCATTTTGACAACATTTTTATAATTTACATGCAATCAGGTGTGGGAAACCCTAGGTCCCTTTGAGGTTGACAATCAGGCTAGATTATTGCTTTTACTGAAAATTTTTAAAAATAAAAATGAATAATATTATGGTCCTTTTATACACTTGTGTGAAAATATTAACAGATAACTTATCAATGATTTATATGGGCTTTAGTGCATTATATTTTCCTTTATTTTTCCAGTGAATATGGCTTTGCTGAAAAAGTCGTTGAGGGAATTACTGTTTCTGTAAACTCCATTGTTATCCGCATTGGAGCAAAAGCTTTCAATGCATCCTTTGAACTTTCCCAGTTACGAATCTATAGTGTAAATGCAAACTGGGAACATGGAGATTTAAGATTTACTCGCATTCAAGATCCACAGAGAGGAGAGGTAAGCATTTTTTTTTTCATTCTTTGTTTAAAAAATCTTTTAGTCACTGATAAATAAAAGAGTGCATTTTAAAATAATGACTTCTTATAGTTATCCTAGATTCACATACTGCATTTACTCTTGCCTTTTAACTCTACTTTTCTATGTATTTCTCTTAGTTATTTAATTTAAAATGTGCATATTTTAGTGTTTTTATGTAATAAATCTTTCAACTTATGGAGTTAATGAACCTCATTTTAAGTTCTCAGCTACTCAGAATTGAATTTTAAATATACAAAACTAAACTCCTATTTAAGTTTTTCTTGGTCACATGATTCACATGCTTTTTGTGCTTTATATCAAATTCAGAGTAAAATATTAACAGCTTTACAAATAATTAATATAATTAGGAAGATATGTTACTGAATTTGTTGCAGCTATACAATTTTTAAAAATAAAAGCATAGTGAATATATCTAGAGTGTCGTAAGAATATTAGTAAAGAGATAAATTTTATTTAGCTTTTTTGTTTTTACAGATCTACACATTTCTCATTCTGTGTCGCCTAAGTGAAGCTAATCTCTGTTCTCCTTAGGTTTTGACGTTTAAAGAAATAAATTGGCAGATGATTCGAATAGAGGCAGATGCTACTCAAAGTTCACATCTTGAAATTATGTGTGCTCCTGTTCGATTAATAACCAACCAATCAAAAATCAGAGTCACACTTAAAAGAAGAGTAAGTCAATAGGGTTACCTTTTTGGTTCATGTGATAACTAGTGGAATTGAGAGGAAATTTTAAATAAGTTTTTAAGTGAAATATAGGAATACTTAAAAGCAAAATAAAAGGAAATATAGTGCCTTAAGCAGTATTTGAAAAAATCTAGTGTAATAACATTTTTCAGTCATCTACGTTTGATACTTAGATTTTTACTTTAAAAAAAAATTTTTTTTTAACATTTATTTTTGAGACAGAGAGAGACAGAGCATGAACGGTGGAGGGTCAGAGAGAGAGGGACACACAGAATCTGAAACAGGCTCCAGGCTCTGAGCTGTCAGCACAGCTGGGCTCGAGCTCACGGACCGTGAGATCATGACCTGAGCCGAAGTCAGACTCTTAACCGACTAAGCCACCCAGGAGCCCCTAGATTTTTACTTTTGATAAATTGAATAGATTCTCCGTTGCCAAATATTGTTGAACATTATCAACTGTCTTGTAATTTCATTTCTTCTGTTGAATCTTGCTGTGGGTAAACTGCAAAGCCTCCAAAGTCACCAAAACTACTAGCCTTAGAAGGTTATTAACATATGAATGGTAATTTAGGTAAGTAGGGAAGATAGTGACTTCAAGATATCAGAAGTTGAGAGTTCTCTATAGATTGTGATGAAATTTAATGAAGGAGTCATGACTTTTTAAAACATGGCTCAGTTAAATTCTCAACAAAATGTTTTGTATCATTAGACACAAATAAATATACTAAATTAAGTTCAAAAAAATTTCAGAGTACAGTGCTTACTACAGTATTCTGAAATGTGAAATGTGGGGGCACCTGGGTGGCTCAGTTGGTTGAGTGTCCAACTTCAGCTTGGATCATGATCTCACGGCTCATGAGTTTGAGCCCCACGTCGGACTCTGTGCTGACAGCTCAGAGCCTGGAGTCTGCTTCAGATTCTGTGTCTCCCTCTCTTGCTGTGCCCCTCCCTCATTCATGCTCTGTCTCTCTTTCTCTCAAGAATAAATAAAACATTAAAAAAAAAATTGAAATGTGAAATGTGGTTAACATAGCATTTCATGTTTAATTTTAATCCTTTCTGTACTAGAATTAGCACAATTATTGGAGGTAATTATATGACTTATTAGCTATAAATGAAAAATTAAATTATATAAGTACTTGTACTTGCAGAACATGATAAGGTATAGGAATTTGTCAGTCTTTTTTACCACTGTATCTCCAGTACAAGGAGATATTTGTTCTATAGTACAGGAACCCAGTAAATATTTGGTCAATGAAGGAAGGATCCATATTTAACTTCATTCAAACATTTTAAGCATTTTTTAAAACATTGTGCATTTGTAAGTTTTATGTCTTGGCTTAATTTTATGAATCTTTTTTTTCTTACAGTTAAAGGACTGCAATGTTATTGCAACAAAGTTAGTTCTAATATTGGATGACTTATTATGGGTTTTAACTGATTCCCAGTTGAAGGCTATGGTACAATATGCAAAATCTCTTAGTGAAGCAATAGAAAAATCAACTGAACAAAGGAAGAGTATGGCTCCTGAACCTACACAGGTAAGCTCTTAAGAGGAAAAACACTTGACCTGTAAATCGAAATGGTTAGTTGTTTATATGAAGTAGATTGTAAGACTTTGAGTCTGAGAATCTTTTTTTTTTTTTTAAGTTTATTATTTATTTAT